CATCCAATCCCTAAGCCATCCAAAGAAGACAGTTGCAGTCGACCATTCAGTCCCCTGTTCTGCCCAATTTGCGATTGCCATCGCACGGTCGCAAACTGTTCCATCAGCAAAGACCGTATACATAGCAGCCACCAAGAAATAGAGTAGAGGCAACACGAACCAGCGCATCAGATAAGACACAAAGATCGTTCCCAGCCAATAAGAGCAGACTTCGCGGATTCCACCCAAAATACATTGAACAGAACCAGTTCCGCTCACAAGACAATAGGTATCATAGGTATCCTGGTACGGGCGGCCTAGTAAGTAGATGTCTTGAGGGAGGATTTCGGACACCATAGAGATACACTGGACAATAACTGCCATCCGGTAGTTGCACAGACGTTCAAGAACTTTGAACAGGGTGTAAGCAGGAGAGTTGTGGCTAGGAAGCATCTTGAGACGGTTACCTGCGGAATTCCCCAAGGGGATGTCAGTAGACATCTTGACGTTGCTGCAATCTTGGGAGTTATCTCCGTGCTCCTGGCGGTCTTGGCTATCCGATGACGGAGCAGCGGGATGTGCTGTTTGCGGCTCTGTTAGTTGCGGCTCTCGGTCTGGAAAACCGAGACAGAGTATAAGCGAAAAGGTAATGATCAGGATAGATGCAAGAGGAATAATAGGAGGTACAGGATGATTCGGAAGAAGATAAATAACATAGACCCTGAAAAAGTATCTGTGGAGTTGACGAAGAACGTGAGAAGATATGAAGGGAACAAGGAGAAGAGAAGGTTGACGAGGGACGCTGTCGATGAAATTTATCGCGATTAAGACGGTAGCGCAAACCCTGCAGAGGATGGCAACTGCTGAGAGAAACTGAGACATGATGCTCGTAGTTATTCCGATGTAGGTGAGTGAGTTGTTGATGGTGCGTTGTGATGGTTGTCTGAGTTAGTAAGTACCAAGTAGTATCCTTTGCAGAATGCTGTTGATGAATGTAGGATAAAAAGAGGGGAGCTGAGCAAGGTATTTATACTAAATGGCGTCTGGTTTGCGATTTTAAGAAATAGAGTGACTGTTCGGGCTCACTCAGAACAGACAAGTAGCTGTTCAAGCACAGAAGCAAGTGAATGTAGATTCAATTTTATGATAGCAAAAGAACTAAGAAGCGTTAGTGTGTACAATTGCACAGAGAATGCCACTGAACAACTGATTGGGGAGAAAGGCTTGCTCACGCAACCCGTCTCAAGCATGACAATCCTATGGTTGCAATAAGAGCTCTATCTTGTCCTTGAGACATCTTTGAACATGACAACATTACCGACAATTCACTTATTGTCTATAACGCAGTTATTGTTCAGCTTTTGGAGCCACGGAAAGGGGAGATTGAGAGGCTCGGGGCAATACATTGTTCCTCACAGTGATGGCAATGACTCTATCACCCATATGTGTTCCTCGGTGTTCTCTACCTTTATGTCTTGGGGTCAGAGCCTCGTTTGATCTCTCAGCCTTATCGCAGTGTTGTTCCTCTCGAGGTAGATGGACCCCACTATCCAATCTCTTGACCTGTAGGTGATCAGTCCAGACTGGCGCAGAACCTTCCCGGTGGCTTCGCTGCGCCGAGTCTTTAATGTAGTGGAGATCAGAGACGGCAAGTCGAGGCCTTCCATGCAAGTAGGCGATGCATCCGGAAACAAACGTGCAACACGTGTTGGCGGCCTATCCTCCGTATCACGTCCATGTAACTTGTTGAAGCTTCAACTGGAAAAATCGAATCTCTTCAGCACGAGGCATCCCTGTAGGTACTCCAAAGACCTCCTGGTGTTATGCAACTCTTAAGTAATAATGAGGTGCTGCAAATAAAAGTCTTTGCTAATGCCAATCAGTTCCGTTCCCATGTTAAGAACATAGGCCAATTTGCAAGCCTCGTCGAGCATGTACAACGCACTGTTCAGAGAAAGCTCACAACCTGGAAGCGCCTGGATTACCTATCTCAGTACAACCCCAGCCAGGGAATACCTCTACCACGGTTATCATGGTCATGTTTCCTGTAGGACCACAAGCAGCTGCCAAGCGACTGCATTTACGCACATAGTGCACCGCAGGGCCAGCGTACCCCTTCAATGGCGAGGGCTCGGATGCACTCCACTTGCTCATGAAGTGACTCTCTGACATCTCTTTGTTTGTCTCCAAGCCGACGAGATGCATCACGGAGCACAGTATTGATACGTGATAATGCAGAGCGGAAGCCTTCAAACTCCTGAATAACACCCTTCTTTGACAGTTTGAATTCCCTGGATCTGGCATTACATATGGCTTTGTTCAATCTAGTGACTAACAAGAACCTGAATTTTGTCCCTCTTTCACTCTCTGACAGGCAGTTGACCCTCTGGCAGGAGGTTACCCGTTGCGGAGGCAAAGATTTGTTTGATCACAAACTTTCTGAGGAGGCATCGAGGCTTCTTGAAACCCTCGCCGCCATACCAAGCACCAAATCGACGGTATTTGCGAGCTCAAGTATTGGCTGATGGATAGAAAATGAGCGATTTAGTAGGACATACATTGTATAAGTAAGGGCAACGCCTCAACCAGCGTAGGTAAAGATGCCCTGGGTAGAGAGTAGAGCCCTGATGATGGTGTCTTTGTATCGACTATGGATTGGAGTTGAGGATGAATGGCTGAAGTCGCCAGATACTTTCTCGTGCTGAATTATTGAGTATGGTGATTGAGATATCAAGGTTGGTACTGAATGCGAAAATATAAAGTGAAGGAACCCCGTCATTTAAACTCCAGCTGGGTAGATGTGCCCCCGGAGCGGTGTATGCCTAGAGAATGCCAACAAATCAAGAAACCAGCAGTATCTGCCGTGAGTACTCGATCCCCGGGTTGATGCAGCACTTTGTTTGTTGGAAGAGACCACCATGGTGAGGACTTTATCGACAATGGCGTTGACAATCAGAACATCACGGTGGCCAATAGAGTCGCGGTGTGAAAGGGGTAAGAAACTGTTCGCTCTATTGATCGGCAAGCCATAAAGTCAGCAACTGGGTTGATTGGCGCCGGAGCGTTTCTGAGCAGGCAATTGTGTTAAACAGCTAAGATACTCTTCTATTGTCATCATAGGCACGGACATTGATCCAGCGGGCCAACAAACAATTAGGCACACGTCATCCTCGAATGGCGCCAGCTGGCTCAGGGCCGATGAAGACCATATATTCCTGTTCTCAGCCTGTCGAACAGACACGTCGTTAAGTGGTAGCTCTTCAAATTCGAGACGGAGAAGCAGCCTGCTATAAGAAGTGCCTGTATTGGACACCGAACATGCAATCTCAAAGGGAGATTGAGAGGCCTAAAGCCTGGGTGTCACGCTTCTGCGCCAGAGGAGACTGATGTCTGCTCGCGAAATGTACTGTTTTTTGGATGATTTCCCCAGGCATGAGGAGCGCACGCTTTACCGGCACCATCAAAATACCAATAATACAAGCTGCTAACCCTCTTTAAAGGAACTTAATATAATTTTAATTATATTTATTTATACTATATATAACTTTATTAATAGCTATATCTAGAAGATTAAGCTTTTATATTAAAGTCTTTTTACTGATTTTAAAAGCTAAATATATAATAAAGTAAATAATCTATTTTTTTTACTTATTTTTTTATATTATTATATATTTACTAAATAAGCTTTAAAGCTAATATTTACTGCTTTTTAAGTTTATTAAAAAAAGTCTTATTAAAAAGACTTTTTTTTAATTTTTTAACTTTTTAAGTTAACTTTTTTAATTATATTTTTTAATTTATAAAAAATATCTATTTTAAAAAGCCTCTTTTAAATTTAAAAGTAAAATAATAATAACTAAAAATTATTAATTTAATTTTTATAATATTACAATTTTTATTATTTATTAATTAAAAAGAAATAAAATATTTATTAAATATCTTAAAAAAGTCTTTAATAAGTCTTTAAAGAGACTTATAGTTTTTAATTAATAAATTCAAAAAATATTAATTATTTTTATATTTATATTATAATTATAAACTATTAATTAATAATTAAAAAGTAATTTTGTTACTTAAAATAAAAGATATTTTTATAGTTTATAATTTATATTTTTTTATTTAAAAATTTCTTTTACTTTTAATAATAAAAATTTAAACTAGCTTTTTATAATTTAATAGCTATTAATAAAGTTATTAATTAAATTATTATAAAAGTATATTATTTTAATTTTAATTAAAAGATTTATCTTTATAAAGGCTATATATATATTACCTTTAAAAGCCTAAAGTTAATTAATATTTTTTAATTTATTAGCTTAATATATCTTATTAAGATATTATAAGCTTTAATTATTAATTAATGCAAGCTACTAAAGACCAAGCATATCACCTCTATAAAGCCTCCATAGGACCTCTTAATCCTCTTTTATATAACTGGCAGTCGTTACATCAAGGCACGAAACAGAGTTATGGCACAAGACTTCTGATCTTATGTCAAAAAGATCAAGGTCGTAGTTTACCTGTAGTCCATGCTGCATCGATATCCTCTTGTAAGGTAAGTGCTTGTTCGAGCGCCCACTTTGGACGTGGAGGTTGGCACTGTGAAGCCAACCTGAACTGAAGTTACTGGCCGCTAAAGCCCCAAGCCACAGGACGTTGAGCTCTAGCAACTGGAGCACCCAATGAGGCCAGATACGATACAAAAAGCTGTGTATTCGGCAAAAGATCCTTCGTCACAAGAGACTTATCGGTCTTTACCATGGGGGATAAGCGAGTGTGTTTGTCGCTCTTCATGCATCAAAACATGACGCGCTGTAGCTTCGTTACACAGCGTCAGTCGCGACGAGCAACCATTTTTGTTTGCGTGCAAAGAAAATCTCTGCCTTCTAACCTATGCAAGATCTGTCATTTCCATCAATCTCCGCTTTCTGTGCTGGGTTGAGAAGCCGTATAGATATCGCAAGCTCCGAAGCATCTCTCAGTTGTCTGCGTTGATCTCGCCCTGATCAAAGTCCCCCAATATGTCAGGGGATGCTGCCCTGGACGTGACTGACGTCAAGGCCGAAGACGAAAATGACACCAACCCTACCATCATTCCCCGAGATGCCGATGAAGACATCAACAAAGAAATGCTCTCTAGACCACTGGAGCCGGGAACCAAGGCTGCTCGATACACCGGCCCGCCCCGATGTGGTAAGATGCTATCATTCCATCCCGGTGTATTCCGTCAAAGCTACCGAACTTTTGTGAAAGGCACCAGCAGGGAACTTAAGAAGCAAGAGGAGGCTGAGCAGGGACGTTTCACCAGGTGGCGCACCAACCCCGATGAGATCGATTCCTCGAGCATTCCCATCATCCAACTGACCGAAGCGTCGGACTCTGCGCAATCATTCGAAGCCTTCCACGCAACTGTCATCGAACCAAACAAGGAGGCCATCGATCGTATACTTGTGGAGTATAACAAGAGCATTCACATTCTCGACCAACGCAATGATGTTCAGTTCTTTGAGAAGTACCGTAAACAGTACACCAGCGGATATCTTGACGATTTTGGACGACCTCGCACCAAATTCAGCCTTCGACCTGATAAAGCGTTAGACATACATATTGGCTTCCTCTGCAGTAAGTTGATACTCACGCCAATAGTCTCATCAACACTGACAGATCCCTAGCTTCAAAGGAAGCGAACCACGACTGCGAAGTGCAGAATTGCCTGCGCCTCTACGCCGCTTGCTTCATCGCGTAGCACGGCCCATCCTTCCGATACTTCTTCTCCAAAGCCGCCGAAGCAGATGAGACCCCCGGCGAAGTCTTCTTCTCGATGCCTCGCAACGCTCGCATCACCGTCAAGTTTTGGGAGGACCGGGTTCGAGATGTAGCGAGAGACACGATGCGCGAGACGGTACGAGATAATAACTGGAACTGGGCGGCGGTGCTGGCTTCGGCTGTTCTGAAGAGAGGATTCGCACCTTCGGAATATGACTTGGGAGGTTTTGTGAACTGGAAGGGGTTTGAAGAGAAGAATGGTCTTGGCAGTCTCTTCTATGGAGTTGTATCGTCGGATGAGTCTGAGTCTTCTGCTGAAGAGTCGTCCTCTGCCGGGGATGAATGACGGGGGGCAGATCCAGGCCTGGATTATGTTATCTACACTCTTGGTCCTTAAAAATATGAACTGAATTTATTGTGGTACTGAATATTGATAACTGCGAGATCCATCCACTGGCCATTTCAGTTGACAAAACCACTTTCCAAACCCAGGATCCCTTCTCAGATGAATCAAAGAGGTGGAGAGGCGCGTGTCCTGCTCAAAATCGTCCGAAACCTACACCTAGCAACAGTTCACATCCATGCTGGCCATAAAATGATGTGTTTTGTGATTATTGTATTTCCCCAATCAAGCAATCACAGTTATCCGCTACCAGGCATAAGAGTCTCTGTCAGACTATATTCGCCTGGGAAAAGGGATAGCGTTCTTGAAGGAAGAAACAATGTGAATAACCAATGCACTCGTTGCTGTCAGTCGTTGCAAGGCAGTTAGGGTCTGACTCAGAGTCTGGTATGAGCCCCACACAAACTGACTCGTACGCTGGCACTGATCTCATCCTCATGCAGTGGCGCGCTGCCTTATCATCCCGCTGCCAAAAAGTAATTGGATACCGGCCGCGTCTGATCTCAGGCGGCTTCGTCTTAACGGGATCAGCAGTCTTTATACTCCGTAGCATCTGGAAATATATGCCAAGGCTTTACGCCAAATGCTCTCCCCAGCTAAGATTGGTAATTGGCGTTAGCTTGAGTACTCCCTGCTAAACTCAACGCCAACGCCGCCCGCTGATGACCATGACTGCCCATTCCTCGAAAACGAAATTGACCGGAATTGGGTGCATGCGATCCAAAGCCCAAAATGCACCGCTCAAGGGACGGACTGGACAGAATGTGATCTACCTGCATCACGATCGCTTCACCACGACAGACAAGATAAGATCCCCCACATTCGATCATGGAACAATTTCTCCAAACGAAGCGTCCTAACAAAAATCTTGGCTCGAAGAATACATGCCATGGACTGACAGACTCCCAAAAGATCTTGCAATCTCTTTTTGGATCTTGTGGGAAGGTTATTGGCGCTTGTACGGTCTCCAAATGGGATTTAGCCAGGCCGACATTCTATATGCAACTTAACACTGGATCTTGAGCTGCTTGCGACGAATATTGTTCATCTCAGAGCCCTGTCAATCAATGCCTGGCAGAACATGTTCAAGTCCAAAACTAAATCAATCTCACAAGCTGGCAAGTGTTAGTCTTCTGTGCCATTTTTTGATGAAATTAGTGCCAGGCGAGAGGGGCTGTCGCTGCTCATAAAGAAAGAATCTGTCGTTGTCTTTACACAGGAAGCGTCGAGTATCGGGATTTTTTCGCGTTAGTTGACTACCCACTGACATAACACAGGTTATGACATCGAGGATCCTAGATGCAACACTTACGAAGAATTTCATTACGGGTATTCTAGAGGAAATAGATCAGTAAAGCCCTTATATTTATCGCGTTATCACTTTCACGTATGTTTGCACAAAGTCTGGAAGTGCCTATTGATACTAAATTCAAGCTAATGTTAGGGAAGTTGGCCAATCAGGCTGATAACTGAGAGTGTTCGCCGTGGTATTTCCAAGCAGATCAATCACAAGTCAGACTTTGGTGGCTTGGCGCACAGGCCGCTCTCAGGTATGAAAACGCGGCCAGATTTTTCCAGAGCATTGTGCAGGTTTAGGGTAGCTCTCGAGATGTAGGTAGAGAAAGCTGACAATTGACTTCCACAGAAGCTTGATTGGAAGTCTCGATGCATAGGAAATTATTGCACCTCCTCTATCACTCACAGAAGATAACAGCAGGCGTTCTGCACTTAGCAGCATTTTGTTTACAAAGACACCACTAGGTTTGCTGCAACCAAGAGGTTGCTAGTCCAGAATTCATGTTTTCTACCGCCAACATCAACAATTTTAACGATATAATAGCTGCAGTTTCTAGCTCATAATATGTCTACTACCTTTCCGGTAAATTTATCCCATATTTACTAAATGCTGTAATATTAATAAGGCAGGCGTCTAACATTAAAGATAAGTGTAGCGCGAAACAGTATCCTCTGAACTCGTATCAGATCGACCATCATCTGCTAATTTTATCCCTTCCTCCAATTCTCCATCCCTGTCTGGTTCACTTTCGTCTGCTTGCAATTTAAGGTCGAAACGAAGCTCCTCATCTGCAGTGTAACAGTGGTAGCAGTTATCCTCTGGCATGTGGATCTCGTCACAACAATATCGCCCTTGCGTATACTTGTTGTCACAAGCACGACACCTTTGACCACGCGGCCTCGGCTCGGAAAAGTAATATCTGCACCCCAGACACATTGAATCATATGTGTGTGTGTCCTCATCCGTCCACTCCCTCGATTGCCGTAACAATAATGCTGTAGCATGATGTCCTTCTTGCTCTGCCAAATGAATAGCTCGAAGGAACTGAAATCTCCCTAACCCCGTGGTAATTGCACCGTGGTAGAGTAAGAGTTCAACCATGTCAAGTCGCCCGCGCTCAGCAGCCCCTTCCAAGGCCGTTCGGCCATTCATTCGGCTGCCCCTGGCGTTGACTCGTGCACCGGCATCTAGCAACTGCTTTGCCAATCCAATATGTCCCCCAATAGCGGCACATTGTAAAGCTGTTACACCATCAAAAACAGATGGTGCTGCATTGACTTCTGCTCCAGACCGCAGGAGGCTCTCAGCGATTGTCAGGTGGCCCAGTTCAATAGTAAGTTGGACAGGAGAGCGGCCCATGCGTCCAAACACATCGTTCTCGTTAATATCCGCTCCTGAATTAATAAGCCAGACGACAGCTTTCTCCATTCCACGATGTATTGCATATTCCAGGAAGCGCGAAAGTGTCAATAGCGGTAGTTGAAGACTCCCTGCCCCCAGGTGGTGATCCATGAGCGCCTTCAAACAATCATGAGTATCCAAACTAAAAGCCCTAGCCCATGTGATATCGTCAGGCTGATAACCGTGACTTAATAGCTCCAAAAACCCAGCTGTTCTTCGGTAGAATGCGGCTAAAGCCAGCGGACTGCCCGTAGAAAGACCATCAAGGCCATCAAATTTATCATAGTCGCTCGGGCGTTGATGCCAGAAAATGCGTGATGAAGTCATGAGAAGACCTGTAGAGGAAGAGAAAGAGAAGGGAGAATCCCAGGCAGAAAACGGAAGCAGCGCGGTCTCTGGTTTATGAAGCTGCGCTATAAGCCTTCGTACCAAATGAAGATTACCTAACATCGCGGCCAAACCAACTGCGGTTCCTTCTAAAATATCCTGAGGTGCTTGAAGAGGTTTATTTTTGAGAAGAAAGTCAATGACCCAGTGGTTCTCAACTAGCACAGCACAGCATAAGCTTGATGGGCTGTAGTATGTTGGCAATTCTGAAAATGTACTTTGAAGCTGGGAATTATGCTGTGCGATAATCGCAGCGTCGATTTCAAGCACGCTGTCGTTTCCGGTGTTGAAAATGCTCGCCCAGTGTTCCAAAAGGAGAGCTCTGAGATGCGGGTCATAATGTCTGTACTGTCCTCGAATGTTGCATATATGATCAGGCACGAGGGCCTCAAACACTTCTGGTGTAAATGTTTGCAATTCAGCGCCTCTTTCTAGAAGTATCTGGACACATTTCGTGTTTTTGCTCCGCAGAGCCAACGCGAGCACGCTGTCTCCGCTCGGATCTTTTATGTTCGGGTTGCCTCCCGCGTCGAGAGCAGAAGAAAGTATGTCGTCGTGTCCTCCACTTGACAATTGAAGAATTGCTTCTGCAGGCAAAAAGGCTCCCGATCTTACAAGGACTTTGATCCCATCATTCCAGCGATGGCTGAACGAAACAACACGGAGAAGTAATTCTAAAACAGTGGGGGATTTGTCTTGATCGCATACTAGAAAATTGTAACCCAGAAGTCGACTATCCACCAAGAACTCGCATGCATCTATATCATCCCATTTCGTCGTAAGATTGACGTCAAGCCCGTTCGACAGAAGGTATTGTAATATGTCGAGTTGGTCTGTCAATATCGGAATAAGGAGAAGAGTGGCGTTGGATTGGCGATAGAGCTTGAACAGTAACTGGTAAGCCTCCTGATGACCTTGCTTGATAGCAACTTCCAAAGGTGTTATGCCACGCGCATTGCGCATGAAACCGATAGGGTTGATTTCATGGAGAAACGATATAACATCAGCGTCCCCGGCATATGCTGCTGAAATGAAGACATCAGCCGTGATAAATGACGCCGCCTTGACGGCCCCATCTTGGTGGTGGAGAAGGTGAAATATGTTCCTTGTTGCTTGAATGCCGACTGTAGCAGCCGTGCTTAAAGCCGTCTCCTCCTTGACGATGTCCAACATCGTAGGTATTGGGTCGTCGTCTTTCCGCGTTTCGATAGGAAGCGAGATATCGGCGCCAATGCCTAAAGCCTGATCGAAAAGGCGTTCATCCTGTAGTAGAATGGCCGCTTGAAGAACTTCCTTTGCAGTTAAAAACTTGTAGTGGCCCGACAGGAGCCTGATGATGTGTGCTCCTTCGTGATCATAAATTCGATCACGCAGTACAAGGCTTATAACCGACCGAGGACTGGAACTCCCCCAATTCCTACTAACAACGGCACCGGCCTTCAGAAGCGGTTCAATTATGTCTACCTGTCTAGAAACGATCGCTCGCTCCAGTGCTGTCTTTACATAGGGGCGCGCAAAAAAGTTGATGTTAGGGTCTTGGCCCAAAGAAAGAAGCCATTTGACGAGAGTCTTAGGATTCTCCATATTCACCATGCTCTTTGTAGAGCAGATGAACTTGATGAGGCACCTGAAAAGATTATCCATAAATGCTCTGATCGTCAGATCCTGTTGTCGGGCTCTCCTTAGACTGTCTATGGCACTCAAGAGCCCAGTCCTGGAGATGAGAGTGTAGAGATTCTCAAAGTCATCTGCCCCCCATTCTGAGACCATGTTGTTGGAGACTTTATAGAAAATGAGTTTCAGGCACTCAGGCATCATGACCTGTGGGGTGCCGGTCGCGATAATTTGAGCGGTCTGCAGGTGTTCGCCAGGGAGGTATTCCGGCATTCCCAGAACAAGGGTCATAGCCAACTTGGGGACGAGGTGGCTTAGCTGACTTTGGTCGAATTTGTAGCCAACCAGCAATATCCTCGATGTAAGAAGAAGATTCATTACTAGCCCTCCTGGCTCGCTCGTCGTTCTGTGTAACTGAATATAGCTCAACCCTAGTCGAAATAAAGTCAGCAGAAGGCCTTCATACTTTAAGTAGCTACACTTACATTCTTGCAACTTGGATCGGAACTTGAACCATGGCAGCGTCGTTGGCCACTCAATCTCGTTAAGGTATGGTTGGGGCGTACAAATAATTATCTGATCCGATAATGTAGTGGACTGAACACAGCTTCCTAGGAAATGTCATTTTCGGGATTTTAACTTGGTGACTAAAATCGTTATGTACTTACCAGAGAGGTTTTGCGCCGGCATACTTATGTCGCGGTGGCGATTTGTTTCTTTTTCGATGGTGGATTGCTTTACTCGCTTACCGCATAAAATAACGTCGCTCTCGTTGCCTTCCCTCTTCCTTTTATTGATCGTTTGGTCAATATACCTCCATGTGTCACGGTCGATGTTTTTCGAAATATTCCACTTTTTCAATCGGTACTCAAGTTGGGATTTCCTAACAGCCAGTTAGCACAAGTAATACAGGAGGGCATTGAAATACAACGTGACAGTGAAATTTTCAAAGATACCCAACCAGTAGACGAGATCATTGAGAGACATATCTGAGAGGTATAAGTTCCGAATCAATTGGTAGTTCCGCAGCCATTCTGCCTCTATGGCATCCTTTTTCCGAGCTCGGTCCATGGTAAACTATCAAGTCAGAGGACAGAAGCTAGGGTTGTGATGGATGGTAGTAATCATTGAAGAGTAGGCGAGAATGCTGAGCTGAGATGGGGGAAATACTGAGGGGCGATGGCAGATCTAAATATTCAGGTTCAAGAGCCTCGTACGTCTCACCTGATGCTTACTTATGCATAAGAAATGCACATTGGGCACCAAGGACTCGGCTGGCTCATCTATCAGTGGCTGAAAACCCAGAATCTGAATTACGTGTACGGCAAGCCACTCCCCTCCATGAGCGCCCTTGGCCAATGGTCCAGAATCTGAAAAGCACAAATATGGAGACACGGCTCACTTTGACCAATAACCCAAAATCCGAATACATGTGCAGGTCTTGCATTATTTTCATCAACCAATGACCCAGAATCTGAAAACGCTGAAATGGTACTAGTGTTCTTTTTGACCAATGGGCCAGAATCTGAAAGGTGCCAGACTCATTGGTGCCTTTTCCAGCTTCTGGTATTTCAGAAGTGGACTTGGGTAATAATTTCTCAGACTTCTTCTTGTCAATTCTGTATATATTGAAGTATTATTCTATCGCCAGTTTCGGGCCCCATTCCTTTCGACAAGCTTGACTCCTACTTAATTTCTTTACTATACTTTATCGACAAGAGTGTCCTACATGTCTAGCAATTTCCAACAAATAATCCTATTCACAAGTGATTATGAATGCAGAGTCAATTATCGCCCTCATCGCATTACTTCTTGCTCTTCCTCCCACAATCTATGTTTTATATGAATGGTACAAGCAAGTAAGAGAAGAACCTTTATGTAAGAATCATTGGTACAGTTATTTTAGGCCCTAGCTGAAATGAAAACACAGCACCTGTCTCATCCCGTTTCGGTGGACCTCCAAAAATTGCGAGGCGTCATCCACGGCTTTTCTACACTCGTGTAGACAGGGAAATTGTCATGCATATGCAAATGGAAGAGGGCATCATATACGATCAAAACGAGGCTTTTAGACTTCTGGCTTAGGTTGAATCTCTTTCAAGGGGAGCATCTAAAGCGATATTGGAAACGAATAGTAGCCAAACCATCGCTGCATTCCTGCAAAAAGGTACTTAAGAAATCCTTACAAGAATGCTCTATTTCATCATTGCCTGTGTTATCTGTAGCACTGAGAAGCCCTTTAGTTTATAGACTTTAAATTGCTGTTTCCCGTAATAACTTATCTTTACTCTTCTCTTAAATAGAACCTCTTATTACTAATTATTACTGTTTAAACTAACATAAGCATTCAAGAACTAGGCCTGGGAATCAGCCCCGGCTTACGTGCCACCTGAGTTTTCTGCGCGTTATGCCATACAAGGTGCAATCTGAACTGAAGTCTCGAGTCAAACTTGAACGAACACTCAGGGCAAGTGTTTTTTGCAACTTCAACTCCAGGTCTACCCAGTTGTTTCAGTCTCTTGAACGTCTGCGTCAACTTGCCCTTTCCTGGATGCATGTTTCTTCTATGTTTCTCAAACTCCTTGAGTGACCCGAACCCTATTTTTGACGAAGGACAGTCATCATCGTCACAGCTGAAAGGTCGGTCATGGCGATCGTAGTGGCCTTGTCTATCACGATGAGAAGCGAAGCCTTCGTGGAAATAGTAACATGATAGCCTGGAGCACTTGAACCAGTTACTGCCATAGAAGTTCTCAAGCGAGTGTGTATCCATAATTGCATTCGTGCTCGTCGTTGGCGTGGCTTCCAAAAGAGGTCTGTTTATTTCGAGGGCTTTTCCAAGTTTACCTATACTGACTTTATCCTTTCGATCATCAGTAAGGGCTTTGTAGTTGGTGGAATGCTCCCATAAGGACACTACGTGCTGGCTGTGGTCAAGTTGTCGCAAAACTTCGGCGTCTAGCATTTCTCGGGATTTGTCTGTAGAAGCCAACTCTGCATCATATTGTGCGGCAAATAAGGTGAAAGCGGATATTATGTCGTCTTTGTGACTCTGCCCATCTAGTGTAACACCTTTCAACGACTCAAGCAATGCTGGAACATGATCAGTCCAATGGGCAATGGCGTAGTCTTGGAATGCAAAATAGCCCTCATGGATGTATCTCAAGATCGCAGGTTTCGAGGTTTCTCCAAAACACTCATAGCTGAGGTAATTCAGACAGATATATGTCATGGAGAGTTCTGCCATCCACCGTGGAATGTAACCGAGTTCTTGAATATACCTATGCTATATTAGTAATGCAAAATAAGGCACTCTTCTTGCGGCCATACGTAGACGCTGTGGCATGAACCAATTCCACAGCTCCCCCGGGAATGATTTCAATTAAAGAACCGCAAATGTCTCTCATATCCATGGATAATCTGAGGGTTGAATCCACTGTCTGCTCCTGAGGATCAATAGATATCGCTGCTTGAAGCTCTCGCGACTTGAGTGGCCGTCTGGAACAGAGAACGAGAGAAAGAATCTTCTGAGCCATTGCCCTCTGGTTATGGTTGGGATTGTTCCGAATTCTGTGCAAATTGCGGTCATATCTGTATTATATGAGTTAATTAGAGGCCATGGGGTTAGCAGCCCTTCTGATTTCGGTACGCACGCTTGGCCGAGGCCCTGAGGAAGACTATGGAACTCTTTGTGAAAGCATTTCAGATTTGGTTGGCCTTCAAGGTTAGACAAGACTAGTTTGGCGAATAAAAACATCCCTGATAGATTAGCCAATTGGACGCCGGGCAGAATGAAGGAGGCATACCGTCTGACTTATCAAGCACATATTGCTCGATGTATTCCCGATCAGCATCACTGAATCTGAAAATGTCTTGGATCGCACTGGCTTTGCACTCTACATATACTTTCATATCCTGCAGCGTGTCTTGTTGCCCAAATCGAATCATGGTTGCCATGGCAAGTGCCTTTTTGATATCTCGCTCATCACGGCTCAGGATTAGAGCACGGAGCTTGGCAGGATTCAAGCTATCACATATTGAGAGGGTTTCCTGTAGAAAGCTTAGAATTGCTTTTCTTTCGTTATCATCACATTCGTCGAGACCATCCACAATGAGGTACGCTTTAGGGATGTTTTGCAGCATGTGGAGCAGGAGTGTCTTGCAATGTTTGACTGACTGTAGTGTGATTTCTCCACTTTTGATTGCTTCATCGTAATAGTATGGTACAAGCTGATCTTGCTGTGCGACGAGCTGGCTCAAGGTGGCTTTTAGAAAGGAGAGAAGGGTCCGTTTCTTGGGATCTCCGTGTTTGCAGTAAAAGAAGCCGACTGGCTCGGTGTCTCGCTGTTTTAGATGATCGATTATCACGGAGGCGAGGACAGTTTTACCTAAATAGTATTAACATCGAAGCTGTCAATGTAACGGGGATATACCGGCAGAACACACCAGCGCCGGCAATAGCAGTTACCCAGATTGTTGAGGATTTAGGCACTGTTTTATCCAGCCAAGATTTCACATCCTCATGATTGAGAATCCATTGGCCCATTGGTCTTTGAGTAGCCTCTGAGCTCTCTCGAAGAGTTTCGCAGATATGTTCATGGTCGATAATAGCTTGTGGCGCTGCAATCCATTGTGAAACAAATGCTTTTCGTTCCGCTGACCTCTTCACACTTGCTTCTTTGAATCCTGCAAGCATTTTCAGGCGATCTTTTTCATAATTGTGAATGTGATATCTGTTTGCATGACTTTCGACGAGTTCCTTCTGTCGCTTCAAATCGTCCAAGATACTCTGGAATCTGGTCTTGAAATCCTTCCATAAAGAGCGGAAAAACTGTTTCAACACTGCAAACAAGATCAGTAGTCAGTTAGAGGTAAAGGACAACATAGCCGTACTAGACTGTTCAAATATTCGGAGTGCCTTGATGTGAAATTCCAGAATATTGGACCAAGCATGTTCCATGACACTTTGCATCTTGTCGTTCTGAGAAAAGGTACTCTGGTAGCCTTCGAAAATGGGAAAGTTCTCGGCTATACGCTGGTAGGCATCCAGTAGTGTATCAAATGACTCGGTCCAGTTTATAGCGGTCTGTATGTACTGTCAACCTCTCGTTCAGTTTGAGATGCGGCAGAGTCTATACCAGAAGTAGGAGCTTCATTGGCCCCCATACAAAGGCAAGGACCTCAGACACGTTGAGGAAGACCTCAATCACTTTCCCGAATTGTTCCATGGCCTCAAGGAATGGAACCAGTCGCCCCATATGCATCATCTTCTTTCGTGACCTTTGCTGCGACTGAATGGCCAAGATAGTCACCTTGAGCTCATCCAAAGTCGTGACTTTGAATTGCTGTCTCTCGGCCGGTTTAAGCCGATTCTGAAAGTCTGCGAGAGCTCTCTGGAATCCATTTGGCTTCGGAAGTGGCGGTCTCGATGCCATGCTGAGGTTTTGCCGCAAGGTATTCTCAATAATGACACATTTCAAGGTCGTGAAACGTTAAGAGAGGTAGCATGAGCGCAAGGTATTACAGGCCAAATGAAAAAACATTGCACAGCTTGGCATATTCAGCCTAATTGTGGAGAAGTGGCTTACGGGTTTTGTTAACATTGGACAGCCTGTGTCTGCCTTATTGAGGCAACCATAGTCAGATGATGTCTGAGCCTCAAGGATATGCAAGGTTCATCAAATCAGGCTCCCAGCATCATTTCTGACTCATCAAAATGTGATGCTTACGAGAAATTTTATCCAAACCACAGATTTGCCAATTTCATTCAAAGGAAACCGACAGATCGAGACATTTAACCTTGAGACATGGCCTACTATCAGACAGATTTGCTGGAGCAAGTTGATAATTCTCAAAACAACAGTAGTGAGTCGTCTAAAGACAGCACGTCAATCGGTTCCTGATTATGTCGAGGACTGTGATAACTCACCATACCGGACAGATGCGTAGAACCGTTCCCGTCATTACCCATCACCGATTTTTGGGAGACTATCTTTCAACCCGACCTCTCTATTACAGGCGATTTCTTTGATGGGACATGGCCCATTTTCGACACAGATGGCGCAGGAACA